CTGGACACAAAGCAGCATATCGGAACACAGCATAAACAAGTTGTTGGCATTCATAAAAGTCTGTCTATCCCAACCCAAGTCTGCACAGAGCCATCTCAGAAGCATCCTGATATGTCACATGGTTTATCTGTAGTCCAGATAAACTACACGTGAATAGGAGAGCTATATGGACATCCTTCAAGACCATTGTCCTATCTTAATTCACATTCATTTGATAACCTGCTTCCACCCAAGGAATATTTGGCTTTGCAGACCTGAGGTGACAGAAGCAGAACTTACACTTGAACATGGACACTGGTAATGACTGCCACACAAAACAAAAGTACATAAAAGATTACTTCCTTTCTCTTCTCAGCCGTGAGGATTCATATCGCAGAAAGGGGAAGGAATAAACAACAAAAAAAAAATAAAGCACAAATTTATATAAAAAAAAACTTGCCTTGTGTAGCATAATTCTCATTAGACTTATTATACAGACAACGAAAGCTGGTGCTACTCTAGATCAGTAAAAAGCAATAAAAAAAACCAAGCTACCTTTCATTTTGAAGCCTGTGCTCAAACACAAAAAATAACTAAAAAGGATTTGTAACAAACAGTTACAGCTGGTCCTGACAGATTGCTGCTGGTTAGGCCCAGTCCGGGCAACACAGCTCTTGTCCCTTTTTTCCCTCCTGTTTTTGTACTCGGAATGCTGCTTTCACAAAAGCCTATTTTAGTTTCCACATGCTCTTCTCCATCTCCTCCCTCCATTGTCTTCTCACCCCTCACAGAAAATGAATCAAAACCCAATTCAGGAATTGGTCAACATTAAGAAGTCCAGATGAAAACAGCGGGTGGGTCCTGGCCCCCCCCCTCCCCGGGGAGCCCCGGCCCTTGTCGTAGCCACGGGGGGCACCCGCAGGAGGCCCGGGCTGTCCTCGCACGGAAGCCTTGCTGGACACATGCTGGATCCAGTGCTTCCCGATGTGCTGGGTGTGTGCACACCTCCTCACAGTGGCTCCACTGGCTGCAGGGCACAACCTATCCGCCCAGCTGGGCAAGGCTCTGCCATACGGACCTCCCTATAGCCAAGGAGCTTTCGCGACATTAGGGATCAGGCATAAAGGACTTAAAAAGGATCACTGAGACAGACTCATGTAAGAGAAATGAAAGGGAAAAAAAAGAGAAACCTCAATTCTTTTGCTTCCATGCATTCCCAACTAAAGTTTTACAGCTCAAGCATTATAGCAGCTCATTTGCAAAAGAAAAAAATAATAAAATTTTAAGATGTATCTTAAATCTTCTTCCCCATCAATTACTCATTAATTGTGTGGTCAGAAACAAAACCATGAGGGAAACAGAAGCAAATTCCAAGCTAACCATCATGGGCAATTCTTCTGTTCCAAACTCCCTTAAAACAGGGGGGCTGCGAGGGTGTCCATGTTTTCCTTTCATAGGACAGACAACTGAAACAAAGAATGAGACTGTAGAAATGGAGAGATCTATATCCCAAGAAAATCCTGCACTATGTCGCAGCTCATAAGGAGATGTAAACCCCAGAAGTCCTTTTTCTTATGATGATCTGGAACGAGAAACAAAGGACAAGCCTGGACAGATGATGAATAAACATTAGCTACCAGCAGCCTAAAATAAATGTCAGGTACCCAGACCAACCATGAAAACGTTGCACATGACTGGTTTCTGCGAAGATCAATAAAATACTTCCTCATGGCAACTCAACTTCGATTGTATGGTCTCGTAAGATTTTATTATTGCTATTTCCAGCCTTGACTAAAGCTTTTGAGGCTTCCTGCTTTGCTAGAACACACACACCGCAATAAAAGTAATTAAAAACCCAGTAAGCTTTACATTTCCTCTAAACTACTGCAGAGACCTCCTACATGGGAGTGACACCGTTCAATCGCCCCAAGCACTACTTCCCTGTTGAAGTCCTGTAACAGCTGAAGAAGAAATTATTTCTTTGATTTTCCTTTCCTTCCTTCCTTCCCTCCTCCTTTCCTTCTCTTTCTCTCTTCCCTCCCTTTCACACACAGGAGGAACAGAAAAGCAGCTTTTATTACAAAACGACGGAAACATTTGAGGGGCCTTAGAATGCTCCCAGACTCCTAGAGCTGTCCTAGAGCAGTGGTCTCCAACTTTTTTCGATGGTGTAAAAAGTAAAGAAGTTTTTGAGCACACACCTCTGATATATGCATATTTATTTATAAATTATATACATCTCCCACTGTACTACTATATTATGTACATTATAAAACATACACAAAAATAGGAATTAAAAAAAGGATGAGAACAAAAGAACCACCACCAGAACAGCTGCAGAGCACAGTCTCAGGAGTTTTGTTACTGAGTCTGGTAGAAAAAGAGTTGGTCCAATGCTATTACAATGCAACTACAGTAAGATGCAGTTTTATTCCTCACTATAACCTACAAATTGTGATTAGTGAAGGTGATGAACATCAGCAGGCAATGTATGTGTGCCACTTTTTAAACCTCACTTATGAATGAAGGTTTTCCACTAAATCAAGTTCTTCCACACTAACTGTACTTAGCCCCACACCCCCCGAGTATTTCTACATCTAGAATTAATGAGATAACTTAAAATACAACAGTACACAAAGCTTTGCTTTAGAATATGCTACTAAATGATTGTCTACATCCTTCTATTCATGGCTGTCTTCAAAGAGCACATAATACAAACTGATGCAGAGTTCACTGAAGAGGCTTTACAATATTTTCTGCCTACTGCTGACACCATGCCTTTCACAACTTTATGGTTTTTGGTTGTATTGAAAAAGTTTGGTTTTTTTTTTGGGGGGGGAGGTTGTGTATTAAAAATAAGCTGTTCCAACAAATAAAGTTTTTTTCTCTTTCAAATAAGTTCTAATTATGATTTTCTTTTCTAAATCATAGCTATCAACACTGCTTGTCTCGACCGGCAAAATTACAGAACTGCAAGAAACACACTGCACTCAAAAGCTGCTGGTCTTGAGGCACACAGAGGCAACTGTGCTCTCTTATTTATAATGGTGGCTTAAAGATGGTTAGCACTTAACAATAGGTAATAAAGACAAAGGCTTAGAGCCTCAAGGAGTTTCCCGCAATTGCCACTGTGTGGCTGGGTTGGCACTAAGCAGACGCACACGGAGGCTATGCATTAATTGCTATGCAAATGCACGAGATGGGTCCCAAGTTCAAAACAGACCAAGGAAGGCTGTTAAAGCATGGAACCTTTTTTGCAACGGGTGCTGGGGAAGATAAAAGCCTTGAAGCCCTCTGAACCCTACTCTCTGCCCAGCTTGAGCCAGACAAAAAAAACCCAAACCCAAATGAGAGCTTTCAGCCTTTCACTCCAGTGAAGGTGAAGAACTCTGCCCTCAACACTTCTTAATCCAGGAAACCATAACCCTACTACCAAAGCTCTACAACAAGCGTTGACTTTTTTAGCCCCCCAGAAGTAGTGCATAGCCCTTATCCCTCTTGTAACTGTAGATGCCATGATTTACTTCCACCCCCTAATACAGAGGGAACAAAGAGCATACAAGCAAAGCTAAAACACCTGCAAATATAGGCACATTTTTCCCCGAGTATCAGGGATAGAGCTATCCATGGAAAACATACTTGCTCACATCTCTGTTTCATCTTTCTTACCATTCAAAAGACCCCTTCAGTTTTTCAAATATACAAGAAAACGAGCATTCTCTGCTTCCTCAGCCAGGTCGTCTACTTCTGATCGATCTGCCCTTTTTCTTGCTAGGAAAGAAGGAGGGCAGATCTGTTTTTTGTTTTTTTTTTTTTTTGTTTGTTTGTTTGTTTTTTTTTTTTTTTTTTTTGTTTTGTTTTGGTTTTTTTGTGTGTGTGTTTTTTTTTGTTTTGTTTTGTTTTTTTCCCCCCCTGTTATGAGCAGGCTCTGCTCTATTAGCTGTGTCTTTATGATCACATCAGTCATAAAAGGACACACAATTTATGTAATATTAATTTTATCAGAAAGACACACACTAAACTTCCTAAAAGCCACAAACTCATGGAAGTACTCCGTTCAAACACCAGTTTCCAGTGATAAATACATACCCTTAAATTAACTGAGTTATCAGGATAATGTTTAAATAGATATTACCAGTTTTCTCTTCCCGAAAATCACAGATTCCCTTTCTCAATTTCAAGTTGTTACAACATCTGGACAGGTTTTCTGTTTGTTGTTTAAAATCATTGGTTAAAGATGATAGTGTACTGGTAAAAAAAGATCTGACCTAATCACACTGACCCAAGCTTACTAGAGAATGAAGCTGAGAATTCCGAGACGATAAAATTAGAACCTACATTTCACAAGATGTCAAAGAAAGTAAACACTTATTTTCCAAATCTGCATATTTACTACGCATAGCCCAGGTTACTGTCATACCAATACCTCAGCACAAACAGACAAAGGAAAAGATTAAACATACAGCAATACAGTTTAACCACAAGGTTGCAGTCTTTTAACCCTACCTTATTAATATATTATTAACATATCTACCTGCATCTGAAAATATGTTCTTTTTTGTTGTTGTTGTTGTTGTTGCTCTCTTTTACCTGTAGATGCTGGACATCATTGGACAGGGGAGAGAAGGAAATTTTTCTCTATTGCAAATGAAACTAAATCTACAGAGCAACATGATCTGTGCATGGAACAGCAAAGATAGGAGTTACAAGAAGCCCTTGCTTGCAAGAGACTTAACCCATTTTTAATACCATGAGCCTACTGAGCATAAAGCACATTTTTCTTTACCCACAATTATTGCTTTTTCCCTTATGTGCAATCAAGTCGTGTGCGTATCATGTAAAATGACACAACCCATTTAGAGGATTTGGATCTATGTGCAAGAATCAAACATGGTATCAGTTGTTTCAGCAGTGTGTCCCCCTAATGCCTACGTCTCTCCATGAAACTGCACCAGTAATGCATTTATAACAGGCAACACAAACTACCACAGAACATAAAAATGAACTGAAGTTATACTTACTGTAACCTGGGAAGCATCCATGAATTGTAGGCCAAAGTAATCAGTTTCCACAAGGTCCAAATGATATACAATCTGATCAAACAACTCCTGTCCCTTTGCATTTTTCTGTAACAGAAAAAAAGAGTGGGTTTTTTTTGTGGGTAGGTGTGGGTTTGTCTGCTTGGGTGTGTTTCTTTTTAAGTTCAAATGGGGGAGAGGAAATACACAATGGAAAATAATATCTAAATAGTAGTTCTATTTATTCTAAAGAATTGGATTGACATTTCTTTTTATTTTCTTCAAGAAAGACACAGTGACATGTTGTTCCTATCTGCTGCATCAGATTTCACTCTCAAAGGAAACTTTCAAAGTTCACTATAACTCCAAGTGTAGAAGATAAAGCAAAGGCTTATGTCCTGTAAGTGTCCTAAGTCAAAGAGACAACATTTTAAACCTCGGGAAGCCAAATTCTCCAGGAAAAGCTTGCTTGACACATTGCCTGAAATATCCTGGCTGTTACCACATATCAACTGCAGTCATACAGTGACACACCACCACTCAAACAGCAAAATAAATTCTAAACAGCTTGAATACTTGAAGAGCACTGTGAGGAAAATTAATGGAACCTGATAAGAATCTTTCAGTAATGTTGCTGACTGCAATCACATTTACAGCTGGAGAAAACAAAGGGGAAAAAAAAAAAAGCGACAATTCTTACTTGGCATGACATCTGAAACACTTAGGCATTGAAACAAAACTAACCCAAATCATGGGCTATGGGTACTAGTAGAAAAGTTAGCCGATCTTAAAGCTAGGCTGCCCTGGCCTGTGTACTTGTCCTGAGGTTAAGCCACGAATGTAGATACCCAGAGTGCTTCAATGCAAAACACGAGAAGAAACAAATCTTGGATGTTACAGATGGGTAGGAGGAAGAGGGAATAACAAACCAATTTTCCACGCAAACCCTGTTATGTTACGTGGGGAAGGAAGTTTTCAAGTTCCTGAGCAAAAAAAACCAAAACCTTGGCTAAAAATACATGAGATGATCATAAATCTCAGTAAGAGACTGAAGCTACAGGTGTATTTTTTACTGGAAAGTACAGATCTCGAACCACTTCTGTGCCTGCTATCCCTCATACACCTTCGAGGAGTTTCTTATTTTAATTTTATTCTTCAAAGCTCTAGCATATTAGGCATTCCCACTTCAGCTGAAAAATGTAACCAAATTTACTGATTTGCACTGATGGAGGGCTAAATAACATTCAGTTCCTTTAGTCTGGCCTTCTGCACAAAAGCAGCACCAATTGCAGAATTCCTATCCACAATTCCAAACTGCCTAAAATCCATCTTCTCCAGCAAAAGACAAGATGAAGAGTTTCATCTTCCTCTGTTTTTTCAAGAAAGTCAAGTAAGCTTAGGTGTAGGTAGCAAATTTTATTTAAAATGAGTGGGGTTTTGTTTTATTTTTGTTTTTAAACTAAGCAGAAGCCTAGAAATAAAATCTTATCAGGTTTCAGGAACAGCATTAGGAGCTCCATTAAACAAGCTGCATAAAAACTTGAAACAAGCAGTAAATTACCATCATAAGATACTGCTTTATTATTAGGAGGGGGCAAAAGGTGAATAATAGACATTCTTAATCAAAGTTCAACATGCTATCGAAAGCAGATGAGAATACAACAGCTTCTTAAAGCAGTACATTGCTAAGAAACCATCACCTTTATATGTACAATAATTACTATAAACCAAATAAAAAGTTCACCAAGAAGTATCCAGAACATGTTCTCATATGTAGTAAATTCAGCACTTGTTAAAGAAGCCAAACCAAAGCACAACAGAATTTAAACTGTTTCTGCTTAAATGAGAAGGAGAAAGCCCGCCAGAGCAATAAAAAAGAACCGGCAAGACATGAGGAATTCAGCAAACTAGGAAAAACTGATTTGATGCCTTATGATCACTCTATTCCTGGTTGCTCGCTTTATGGTGTAAAATACCAGCATGTTTTATCTTTGACTGCCACACACCCAATAGAAATCGGAGAGAGCACACTCCACCTTCTGTACCCAAACAGTAGTTAATGTTCAACATGTGCATTACACGGGGAATAGCTCTGCACTGCACGGCTAGACCATAAAATGCAGTATTACACACACAGTTTACAGGAGATTATCACATTCAACTTGTCACTAAATGAGCTTTCCCAGCAACTCATACCACTTCGATGATAAAGCTGCTGCGGCCAGCAAATTGCTGACAAAAAACCTTTCTTTGAGATGTTACACTAAAGGGGAGATAAAAGTGACTAGCTCCTTTCCTCTACTAACAGTAAAGGATGACCTATTCTCCTTTCTTTTGCTTCTTCACTGCCTGACAATCTAGGGAGTCAGATTTCAGACTGATAATCTGGTACCCCTGCATTGAATGAAATGGGTGGTACAGGCAAAATAGAAAGGTTTTTCCTCAGGCATTACATATGCATAGAAGTGAGCTATAATTGAAAAAATGTCCATTTTACGAGAAACTTCTGATTTTCATGTTTTTTTCCTCCATCCCTTCTTCTAAATAACACAGAAGCTAAAAAAAAAATGCTTTCTCTTTCAAAACCTGCTACCACATAAGGAATATGAACCTAGTTTCATGCAAGAAAATTTTCATAGTAGATCTAATCAGTTGGAATTTAACAAATCACACTTTCTCTGTGGACTTTTGACTTGTGCATGTGTTTTGAAGATACATCTAAAAAAACCCAACCTTAAACTAAGAGTATTTTACAGTCCTACCTTGCTAGGGAGATGGTTCAGAACTGTCAGATATAGAAGACCTGCTTAACTTACATCTCAAAAAAAGGGAGTATATGGCAAAAAACAATACACATTATGTATACTATTATATACAGTTACTACTTTGTTGTTATAAAAGTTACTACAATTGGGAAGTGCTGTAAGGAAGGTTGCAATACCTTGTTTGGTTTTGTAGTTGGGTTTTTGTCTTGGCTTTTGTGGCTTTTTTTTTTTTTTGTGTGTGTGTTTTTTTTTGGTTTTTTTTTTTTTTTGTTGTTGTTTGTTTGTTTGTTTAAAGCAACAATTAAACCACTGCCAGTTTCTGGTGTAGTGTTCCTTGGAACCTAGAAGAACTTGTGTGTGTGAGCACCATGAAACCTTACAGGCACACACGGGGTGGGTGGTGGGGGTGGGCAGCACTTCAAATGTCCAGCTTACAAAACAAAACTACAGCTGCAACCCAAGGTAAAACTGAACTAGCATGAAGCAGTCACTTGTGTTCCCTTTTGCCTCTTCGTCCTTGAAGAAACACAGAAAGACTGAATTTCACTTGCAGGTCGGGCAGCTCCGTGATAATGAGCAACTACTGAGAAAAAGGAAAAAAAGAAGAAAAGAAAATGTGTTTCTCATGTCAGTCAGCCCAGTCCTGCCTGAGAGTCATGACAGTTTCCTCCACTCTGTATCCTGGAAGCTCTTCTCAAATAATTCCCCCATCATATTTTCTTTGGGATCATGAATCATGGCATCAAAGAAAATTCTTATGTTTAACGAGGACTTACTGCTGGGTCCTCCTACAAGGACTGAAATCGGCATGAGTATAAAGCACCGTGTGGAGCCACAGTGACAGCTGCATGGCCCACATTTCAATTAGGCTAAATTTTTAGCTGCCAAAGACTTCCAGCCTCCGAGAATCTATGGAAGTTCTTGTCAGCTGAAACCTGACAAAACAAAGATTAACTTCTCTAATTAGAAACTCTTCCAGACTTGACATGTGAATAGGCAAGAGGTTTTAACCTGCTTTGGGTAGGCACGACGGAAAGGGCAAGTTCATCAGCCAGGGACATTTTACACCAGTTGGCTCTGTCTAAACAGGCCGATCAGTGTTGATTTTAGCTACCCCAGAGTTGTTTGAAAGCTTTTTGCCAAAGGGTGTGAAAAGGGGACATACAGGTCAGAAAAGTCCTATTTGAGTGCAGACACAGTTCAAGAATGCCATCGATCACTCCTGGAGCACAGCAAAACTGGAGAGCTGCTGCCCACACCTTCCCCAAACTGCAGTGCAGTACGTAGCAACCAAGCAGAGTGCAGTACCTGAACTCGAGTGGAGTGGCTGAAATTGTTGAGTCATACTAGAGAGCTCAGATTACAGCCTTACCAAGGAACAATGAAGAGGTTTCAGAAATAGCCGAAGTTTAGGGAAAACAACCCATCAAATAGGCCAGGAGGTACATGAAATAGCCTGCAAAAGAAAATAAACTACTGCCAAGAAAAAAGCCAAAGCCGTTTAACTGTAATGTGTCCCAAACTGAATAGTGAGTAGTAGCAGAAATTAGTAGGTAGGGCAGATTTAGTTTCTTTTTCTAAAGAAAGCACAGGATTACGTATTCTGCCATACGTCACATAGTTTTGCAGAGTGGGCTGCTATGGTCTCATGGTCACAGACACCAGGTTTTAGCTTCTAGTAGGTTAGTAAAGGAGCATTTGTAGCCAGCAATTCTGTTCCATTCTGTTCCACAAGCCTGGTACTGCCCCAATGGCCTCAGCATTTCCTCGCCCTGGCATTATCTGGAACAGGGTACGTCAGTTTGTTCTGCTTGGCCCTCTGAACTGTTATTAACTAATTTTTCAAACCTACAACTAAGGCTTTATCTACTGGCCATATTGCTTAGTTTTGCCTTTGAACAGTCACTGGCAATGTTGTTTCCCAGCATTTCAGCCATACTACAGGCTAAACATGCATAAAGCCATCTGAGCTTCTAATTAGACTCGACTCCTGCTGCTTGTTATCCTCTGTCCTTTAACTTGCTTTCCTCTAGATAGCCAAGCCCTCCATTTCCCAAACACTCTCCTGTACTGAAAGAAATCAGTATTTTCATAATTTTAAGCACAACAATGCAACTCTTTCTATATTCTTATAAACCTGTTCATTAGGTCCCTTGGGAAGAGGATGGGACAGACACTGCACCCTCTAAGCTTGGTCACTGGGGGATGCGATTACTCTGAAGCCAGCCTTTGGATCATGACTCTTGTAGGCAAGTCAGAGCTAGCTCTTAGGTAGAGAGAGCTGCATATTATATAGCACAACTGCTGTGATATCTAACAGCTTCAGCCAAGTACGCATTTCAG